CCTCCCAGCCTCCTCCAGGAGGGCCCTTGTTCCTCTCTGTGTGTCTATCAACTAAGACATTCATCTGGGGGGGGGTCTGCCCCACTCCCTTTCAGCTTGATTTCCCCAGTCTCGCCAGTTAGACAAACACACAAACAAATAAACAGAGCCTGGATTTGGGGTCTGGGGCCTCTCTCCAAATGCAGCCCTCTCTGCTTGCTGTTCCAGCCCTGCCTGGATGGCTGGAGTGAGGGTGGGGTGGGCAACAAAAGGCTCTGTCCTTTCCGCCCTGCCCCTCAAGGTTATGGGTGATGTCCAAATTTAAGGCAGAAGTTCAAAGGCAGCAAACAAAGAGGAAACCGGCATCCTTCTTTCCCCAAAGGGAAAAGGCGGCCTCAGCTGGGAGCTGGGGAGAAAGCACCCTTAGAGACTCCTGAGTCTGCTCTACCTTGGTACACACATCGCTCTCCCTGTTGCTGAAAAGATCCTCAAGGCACCCCAGAGTGGCTCCACTTCAGGCCTCCAGTCCTGAGGTGAGTGACAGCCTGGGATCAGACCCAGTGGCCACCTTGGGCCCCAAGACCTTCTTCAGGGCTGAGGTCAATCTGAGGGGATGAAGTCTCACATCCCAGACACTGAGATACCCCATCCCTAGCCACCACCACCCCTTTCCCACAAGGACATGGCCAACCATGTCCTAAGCCTGGTTTCTATTGTAGCTGAATCCTGACCTAGTCCCCTCCTGGCCCTTTAGGGACTTGGAAACTTAACCTCTTCACTAAGCAGGGAGTACTGAGGAGGTAGACATGTGTCAGGAAAAGGTGAGCAGGGAGAGAAATGTCACACCAGGATCTGATACTCAAGTTTCTACCATTTTTATTTTCCTTGTGCCCTGTCGCCTATGCACACGCTGCCACATCCAGGGTGGGTAAAAGAGGAGAACAGGCCAGCACTCCTATTACAAACAGAGCCCCAACTCCTTTCTTAACACAAGGAGGCAAAGGAGATTCAACCGGAGGGTGCCTGGCTTTCCCAGACGCAGTCCCTGGCCCTGGCAGGCTGAACTGCCTCCGAGCATCTCCCTAATGCTTTCCAAATGTTGCAAGAGATTAAAAAGACCATTCTCAACACCCTTCCCGCCCTCTCCAACACCCCAGAGGAAATCAACTAATGGCACAAAAAAGGATTCAAGCAAAATAGGTTATGGTTCCTTTATTTACAAGTCTTTTGAACACCATCCCTGTATGAAGCGTACATTCAAACATTCTTAGCAGAGAGTTTAACCGTGGAACACTGTAAACAGATAGAGCCTTTAAATATTTTTATCTTTCCCCCCCTGTACATTGCATCTTTTAAAATTCGCTTTGGTTCCTTTAGGGAGATATATATATAATATAATATTTATCTTTTAAAATAATTCCAAATCACTCTTGGGCTCTTGGAAGGTTGCTGGAAGCTTCCAAATTCAGTTCTGGAGCCAGTGGGGGCAGTGTGGCTCTGGCACCTACTGTTCTGGGGCACTGGAGCCCCTCACAGCCATAGGTGGGGACCCACTGACCAGGCCTACTGCTCCATTGTCAGACACCAGGCAATTCCAAGCTTCATTAAGTATGGTGGAGACTTTGCCAAACTGCTGCACTCTTCAGGCATTTCCTGCAGAGACTGAGGGGCCAGCGGCCTGGGCCTGGGCGCAGCCTCTTGGTTTTTGAATGTCTTCCACTCCAGGAAACAGTTTGCTCTGTGACCAGGCTTTGGGCTGAGTGGCAGGCTGGGAAGAAACCACCATCTCCTCCATTTAGTACGAAGAAAAGCCAGGTGGGTTGCAGGAGGAGGCTGCTAGGAGCTCTGGTGTGGGACAGTGCAGTGGGTGGCTTCGAGGGGTGGAAAGACTCTTGCCACCTGGAAGAGCAGATTTCATTTCTCTCACGGATCTGCATCCTTCTCCTACCTTATATCCACCTCTTAGTCCAGCCGCCTTTCACATTGGCTTTGCAAAACAGCCCCATTTGGGGCATTTAAGAATCCTCCCCATTCCTCCTGCCCCTGTCCCCCAGCTGAAATGGACTTGAAGAGCATACAGCGTCTTGACTCAGGGGTCCTAGGGGTGGGTAGGCTCCATGTGGAGGGTCTTGGGGGTGGGGGTGGTCAGCCTCCAGGGGGCCTGGCAGGGGGCCCAGTCCAATGGAGACCACACCCAGTCCAAAGCTCTGCAGGCTCCAAGAGCGAACCACCAGGGGTCCCAAACCATTCATTCTAAGGTAATGCACAACTCTCAGAATCAATTATTAGGAATCTTAACCACTGAGATCTTAACCAAGAGAGTTCCTGCCGCCTCCTGTGGGGCTATCTCCACATAGCCTCCTCTCTCTTGCACATTTCCTTTTTTTCAAAGTCACTGTGTGGTTTGACCTTGTCAAGGGCAAAATCTGCATATTATCTCCTGTGTATGAAGCCCCCCACCCAATTCCAGCCGGCTGGAGCCTTAGAGGAGCGGGTTAGCCGAGTAGTACTGTAAACGGTCTCTGTTAATTTTTTTTTCCTTCATTCTTCTGTTTTGAAACCAGATTTTGACTTGACGGTCAGTGAGGTTGAGCATACGGGACAGTTGCAGGCGCTTCTCTTTGTTGATGTAGACACTGAAGAAGAACTCCCGCTCCAGCTCTCGGATCTGGTACTTGGTGTAGGGGCAGCGCTTTTTGCGGGTGCGTTGGCCACCTGTGGAGGAAGAAAGCAGGGGTGAGCCAGGTGTGGGGGCTGCGATCCAGCCCAGAGTCCAGATTTGAGGAGAAGGGCTGGCCACTGGAACTAGAGGCCTAACCCTAGCTCCCTCTGTCCTCAGCCGGCTGGGGACCCTGCAGTTGGACGCTCAGAACCAGATAAAAGCCAGCTCCCTAGACAGGCCCCCAGGGAAGCTGCTCCCGAACAGAAAGGAGGGCTTCTCACAGCAACAGGCGAGTTTGCGCTGCAGAGGCTGCTTTGAAAGCTGCCGAGTGGGGGTTGCCGGCTGCCTCCCGCCCCGCCAGACTAAACAAACAGCCGCCTCTGGACATTTCACCTTCCAGCACCTGGGCCGCCGGTTCTCGAAGCAGTAAACGGCCCCAGCCCCAGTCTTGCCCCATTGCGGCCATGACTGGCCCTCGTTAACATCTGGGGCAGCTGCCCGGTCTTTGTCAGCCTGAGTCCTGGCCACTAGCTCCTGCATCCCTGGCCAGCCTCTTGGCTCCCCGAGGCGGGGAGGTGGCAGTGGAAACCCCCATGCGCTGGGTCTTCTCTGAGCAGCAGCGGCCGCGCAGCCACTGTGAGACCTCCGCAGAGCAGGGGTGCTGTTAGGGTGGAGGGATGAGAGGTTTCCCGGAGATGAGGCTGGCTCTACTTTCTCCCCTCTTAAAAAGAGAAAGAAAGGAAGGAAGAAAGAAAGAAAGAAGCCAACCCCACAAGACCAAAAAAAAAAAAAATCGCTTTGACAGATTGAATAACAATTGTGAATAACATGCAGTTGGACAGAAGGCAGCACGTAATTGCCACCGCGCCGGAGGAAAATGGCTTCCTTTGGACAAAAAGGCCAACTTTGGGTTAATTTGTTTCTTTTAATATATTGCTCGAGCTAAGCAGGCTACTTTATCTGTTAAACGCGCTCCTAGCGCCATCGTTAAACAGCGACGCCTTTGAATCCCGGCCGGGGCTGGAGTCCCGGAGCAACACATGGCTTTTATAAAAATCTCCGGATTACCTCGCTATCAAAGGCCCCCGGAGCCCTTGCAGGGGGAATTTACAGGCGCCCACCTCCGGCTCCCCAGCCCGGAGCTGGCCCCGAGCGGGGTCGAGCTGCCGGACTTGGGAGCTGAGAAGGGAAAAAAGGGAAAAGGGGAGTTGTTTTTTTTTGCAGGCATGCCTTGGCCGGTGGGTATTTCACGGCCAATTTCAGCACTCGCCACGTGATCCCGCCTTTTATAACAAAGTTTTGTTGGGGGAAACCTAAAGGCCCTTCATAAACCTTATATGCTTATAAAACAGCATATAAAAATTTAACAGCGGTGCTGCGCTAGATTTCCAACTCCCCTTTCATAAAGCGCAGGGCGCTGCCTTT